GGGGACGCCTTTGCACGAAATAAATCCTGTAACCAATTATTTCGACCATCAACTCAAAGAAAAATTTCGGTGCCATTGAAACGCAAAACAGGAAAAGCTAATTTTACCAATTATTAAAATGTATTTTTTATTAGTGCATTTACTAATATAGAGTTTAGACAATATATTTGTTCATTTGTAAAAAAAAAAAAAAAAAAAAAAAAAAAAAAAACAGGCTTAGTTGCAGAGGAGAATGTTAGTATTAAGACGAGCAATAAAGACAAACCATATGCACAAAGTCGTGCTCGGAAATGACATGTCTTTAATGTATCCTCGCCTGTTCACAAACTATTTTTGACATTCAAAACAAGCTGTGCTTTAGAGCTATGCATCACACGACGAAAAACTCATTTCTAACTTAATTTTCGTTCTTTGAGGGCAAAATCAGATGGTCTGGCGTAAGTATGTATCCCGCCAAAAGAGCGTTCTAGTGAGACGATTTGACCGTTACCACACAACACTATTATTGTTCGCGTGTTGTATGTGACCACCAGAGCGTCACGTAGAAAATTTGCTTGATTATATTTTGAATAAAAAAAAACTTATAATATAAAAATCATAAATATATTTATATATCATTGAAGTGTGTGTGTGTTTTTTAAATGTCTTATAGCGTCAGACATTGACGCTATTATCCTGATTATCCCTCGATTGAGGTCGAACGAAAATTTCAGTCCATCAGACGAAGAGAACAGATCGAATTGAGTGACGCAATTTTACCCTGACTATTAGGCAACATTGAAAGCTAAAATAAAGCAAGAAAAAATATATGAATGTCATTTATCTTTTTTTTTCTTTTAAATTACAAGTACAATACATAATTTATTTTTTTATAATAATTTTAATTGTGGGTTTTGAAATCATATTTGATATTATTTAAAGTCCTTTTGTATAAATGCCATCTAAAATATGTTTTTTTTTTAAAATCAATAACTTTGGTGTAATGCTTAAGTTTAAATTAAAAGTTTTCTTGATTCAAATGTTACAGTGTGATGTATCAGGACCGTTCTTAGGCATACGCTGACTACGCATCCGCGTAGGGCCCCGAACGTGAGGGGGCCCCCGTGAGGCGCCCTCGATGCCCCGGTTTTTTTTAATACTGGCACTGCAGACGTCTGTGTCACTCACGTTACATTCCTCTTCCCGATATTTATAATTCTGAGTTGAATTTGGAGGCAGGGAAAGGGAAGCAGCAGGGGGGAGGTTTTGGGAAATAAGTGCCACCAGAGCCATTCTTGGGCATATGGGCAAACCAGGCAACCGCTTAGGGCCCCACTACCACCTGCATGTCCATATATTTCAGAAGTACACATTTTCTCTAGTGGCGAAATTATCAATATGGTTAGTGGTTCCACGCGAGCAAAGAGGAAACATTGATGAAGGCAGAATGGAGGTGCCGCAGTGGTGGGTGGTGTTTTGTCATCAGCTCGAGGGAGCTCCACCCCCGGACCCCCCGCTCCGGGGCCCTTAACCTACGCTCCATGCTTAGGGCCCCCAAACGCCTAAGAACGGCTCTGGATGTATAAATTATACTATGTTTATAGATTCAATAGTTAAAGGTTGAGTTTTGCCAAGACAACTCAGAGATTATAAACATAGTTTATTGTTAGTTTGTTTTTTTTTCAACTAAAACGTGTAGCTTGCTGTATAAAGAAAAGTTCGTTTATGTAATTGTTGTGTGTATATACATATTTATACAACATATCTCCATACAATATTATTTAAAAAATCGGTAACATTAAATGATTATCATATATGGTCTTTTTTGTCTTCATTTAACTATAACTCACATTATGACTCCTGACTGAACTATATCATTTGGAAAGTAATTACAAAAAAATAAATGCTTCTCATATACATATATGTTCCTGAACCAAATGGTAGGTCTCTAACAGCTCTTTGTTGTATTTTCTTTTTTTTTTTTTTTTATTAATAGAAATATTATAAAACTTATAAAAATATATTCCACTTTTCAATGAATTAAAATTACGCAATGAAGAGAAACAGATATTTGTTATTTTAATTAAAAATCTTTACCACACGTTGTTCACGCCCCCCCTCCACCCCACCCCAAACCAGTATCTGTGTTTTGTAAATGAAAACGACTGCTAAATATGCAATTATCATGTGAGTAAATCATATCGTTTTGAGATATTGTTATAGACTGCAAAATTACCCCACTCTCTTCCTTTCGCGCTTAAAATGTATTTTTTACGAAATGTTCACATTAATGTTTACTATAAACATATTATTATCCCCAAACACATGTCCCCATTCGTACACTTACCTATGATATTAAAATTTATCTAACAAAATTAAAAAAAAAAAAAAAAAAAAAAAAAAAAAAAAAAAAAACAACTTTTCACAACGTTTTCAAAAAGCCACACGAAATCTATACCTTATCTACAAAAATGTATTTTTTTCTTCTTTTTTATATATTTTTTAAAATGAAATTTTGTAAAAACCTAGTGAAGCTTAACAATTAGTATAACAATTACTACACCAATACATATTAGAAGATTGTCCCCCCCCCCCTTAAAGAAAACCGCTGTTTTGAAGGAAAATAGGCCTATACACTTTTTAGAATTGATTTATTAATGAAGTCGTTTAAACAAGTGTATAGTTTCCTAATAAAAATTATGAAACAATATTACTGTTCAGAAACAAATAAAAAAAAAAAAAAAGGAATTGAATAACCCGTGCATCGGCAAGGGAACCTGAATTACAGCTGCCATCTTTTCTGTTGCTCACATCTTGAGTGTAAAATGATGCTAAAAAATAAATTAATGAGATACGTCACTATATATCTCATCATTTTGATTTTATCAAATATTTCCTAGGGAGGGAGACCTCCCCCCCTCCCCACTCCTATCAACCAGTTTCGCCCGGTGCACTCTATCTTTTCTATCTCATCAGTTGAAGACTCAGTAACCAAACAAGAAAACAAAACAAAGCCAAAAAAAAAAAAAATGCTACTTGATACAAGTAGTTAGAATTATATTTTTAAACTAAAAAATAAAAAAATAAAAAAAACATATTTTTTTCATTTGTTTGATATACATAGTTAGTTCACCAGTATATAGATTACAGGGGCGAAGCTAAGCTGTGGTTAAAAGCGCCCCTTTCAGAATGAATTTGTGGTTATGCGTGACGCCTGGATGAGCTCGCGGTCCTGATCTTGTAAGCTTGTAAAAAAAATAAAAAATAATAAAAAGCCTAATTTCGGTAGTCATAGATACCCTGCACCCCGCTTCCCACCAACGCCTGATATGCTGCTCCCACTCACCCGTGGATAAAATTACCTGACAAAAATTGGTCAAAACCCATTGGCCAACATGTTCAGTAATGCTTTTCATAACATTTCTTTAACAGTAGGCTATAGAGAGCATCGGGCCGAGTAAAAGCGGCGAGTAGAGTGGAGTAGTAAGTTGATTTTTGGCGCACCTGTCTATTTAAATTATATGGGGTTTTATCGTTTAATTCCCTATTGAGGCCTATGAGTTTGGCATCCCCTTGATGATGGCGCGAGAGGTGGTTGGTACGTTCGCTCCTTCCTTCAAATGACGTCTAGTATCTAGAAGGAAAGGGTGCCTCAGTGCATTACTTTTCCCAGGCCCACCGCTGCTGTAATAACGGCTCTGGCGCTAGTCACGAATTTACACATAAAAACTAAACTTGGTTCCTTTATGCACCGTTTGATGTATTAACTTAAATTTTGTTGCTAAAAATGTCTCGGTAATAAATATAAATTAATATTTTTTTTATTTAAAATGTATCGATTTTATATTATATTAAATATAATTTTTTTCTTCTTGATTAAATAATCAAGGTTCAATTCATGAACTAAATTTTGTTGATTCAATTGTCACAGTGTGATGTTTTCCTATACACACGTATAGATTATCCTGTAAATACCGGTTGTTGTTGTTTTTTTTTGGTGTACTTTTCAAAACTTTTATTTTTATATTTTATTTTGTGTGTGTAATGCATTGTATTTCTTAACAAATTCAGACGGAATAACCTCTTGTAATATTGCATGGTACTTCTAAACAAACTGACCGATGACTTCTTATTTAAAAAAAAATTACCGTTACCACTTTGACTGTTAAACATTGTGAACTATTCAATAACTTACCTGTTAAATAGAGTTTATGATACCAAAGAAATGGTTTGTTAAACATAGTTAAACATACAACAAATGAAAAGTTGTGTAAATGATGGTTTTTGATATTCATGGGTACAGTTGTGTAAATGATGGGTTTTGAGATTAAAAAAAATGGTTTTTTAAACAAAATTAAAAAAAAAAAAAATGACCTCTTTTTAAAAAAAAAAAAAAAAAAAAAAAAAGGACTTAATGATTTGAGAAAATGTTTATTATTTATTGGTAAAATGTTGAATTTTGCGTTTTTAATTAAATATAATAATTTAAATTTATTAAAACGATTTCTTTTGAATTAAATTTATTTTCATATTTTTAAAGTTTAAAAAAAAATACCAAAAATTTTATAAAATAAAGATCAAATTAATTTGTTAACATTTAATTAGAAACCTTGTATAGTGAATAGAGAATAACAATGAATTATAAATAGAGGGAGTTGTAACAGTTTGAGGTAACGTAGCTATGAAGACATAAACTTCATTTTTTTTAATAACTTAAACTGAGAACTTTGTGGTCATTGTCCTTAATCATCAATGAATTTAAGTATTTTTTTCTTATTACTGTAAACAAATATTGTTTATGGCAACAACTTCTCAACCCTCACATAAAAGCAGCCAAGTTGATTTTTTGTGCACTATTATATGTTTGTTCGAATACCAAAATTTTATATTTAGAAAAGAAAGTCGCTTTTTAAAATTAAAATGTTCTTTTAGAAAATCCACATTCCCATAAATCAACCAAAAAACTAATTCTAAAAAATGCGAATGATTTAAATGTGTTCCTGGAAATTACAAAGAAATAAAAAGAAATTCCCGATTTTAGTCTGAAGCCTATTTGTAAGTTCAACGTTTTTTAGCCTTTGTCTTATAATAATACTAATGAAAATAGTTTATGATGGTAGAAATGTGTCCAAATAAGATTAGGAATTTCATTTGAGATTTTTTTAAAAGAATGTAGATGTTGCTTAACTTTTAAAATAAATGCAACCATGGCAAATTTTAAGTAGAGCGTTGAGTGTTGTCACAACAGTGTTGTGCTTTCTGCTTTAGGCCAGTATAGTATCAGTATCAGTTGAATAGGCCAGTACTCCAACTCAAATTTTCAAATACGTCTGACATACGCAAAGCATATCTTGGAAAGAGCTTTTACTTAGCTTTCCAATGACACCCAGATAATCTTTCTATCATTTAGACATATAGCAGAAAAGTTATGAAATTTTTAGTGATTTATTTTTTCCCCACTATTTATTTGGCTTTGTTTTTTTTTTTTTAATCTTTTAAAACTCTGATCGCATTATTTCTCTTTTCTTTGGTACTATTTTGCTTTTATCTTCTTGGCTATTACTTATTATTACTATTAAAGTTAGAGCGCTCAAATTTGCAAGAGACATTTACAATACAATTTTTAACAAAACAAAGCACATGAATTGTGAATTTACTTATTATATTTTATAATTCATATAAATTTCAATCAAAACACCAGTACACAAAATAATGAAAATCTCCCTTAAGAGCATCAGAAACAAAATTTGACAATGTTATTTTTTCATGATCTGTGTCAGAAAATACCAACTCTAAAAACAATTTTACAGATTTCTTACCCTAACCAACTATATTGCTGGTTTAGCCAGCATCCCAACAACATACACCTCAAGCACCCTGTATAAGGCGGATAAATCCTATAGCCAGAGCAGTAACTGGCCCAAAAAAACATGGACACAGTTTATGGATCAGGTGCCCTAGCAATACTTCATCCTCATTGATTGGTAGACTGAACACATCTTCTTCTGTTTTCAATATTAAATTGGGTTGTTTCTTGATCTCTAGGTGGGGAATGCATGTCCTCATGTGTGGAATCGGTTTAAAAAACAAAGAAAAGGGGCTAAAGCTAATGCATTGCCATAATCTTTTCACAAGGAATGATGATAATTCAATATGTAACTCTGAAAAAAAATTAAAAAAATTAAAATATAGTACCGGTACTGCTAATTAAGAATACATACAAAAACTGTGATTCAATTGTCTTAAACAGGACACACAATGTTCTTCAGTTTATCTACATTTATAGCTGTTAATAACATAGAGCCAGAGGCTATCTTAACCTCTCTTCATGTCACCTCACTCTTATATTTCTATTCCATAATAATTAATAATATATGGGCACCATAATTCCTTTATTTCAAAGTGTAAGTGTTCATGAACATTTAAAAATACCCATAATGGCCAGCAAGGTCCAACAAGTTCAGAGATTCACAAACTTTATCAGTCAACAACTGGAGATACTCAAGCAAGAGAGGAAAAATCTCCGAGATACTGCAGATGACGCAATCAGTCAGGTAGGCTCTAAATGCTTATTTTAGAATAATTTAATAGCAAAATGTCATAAAGAGCTAAATATCTATTGTTCCATACAATCAGAGGAATGCCACAGACACAGCACAGCACCCACAAATAACCTTTCTGTTTAGTTTGATAAACCCGGCCTACTCTATATAAATGATTTAATTTAATTATTTTTTTAAATTTAAAGAACAGATAGCTACATGTAGTGATGATATACTTTGAATGGAGCATTAGTTAAAACATTAAAAAATATTATCATAAGAGTGTTATCTTGTCAAGCTTCATAAATTAGGCATTATAATTTGACATTTATTGCCCTTGCTGATCAGAGCTGGTCAGTTTCTTCAGCATTTACAAATTATGCTGTACAACAGTGTATCAAAGTAAAGCATAATTTCAAGGACGATTATATTGATTACTAATTGCTGCCTCTGTTTGTAAATAACACCATATTAACATATCAAAACAAATATTTCCTTTTGTCTAAACTATAAAAAGATATTTTAAAAACAGATTAAAATATTGTAAAATATTTTAAAATTCAAAATGTTATACTGTATTCAATGACATGTACCAGCATTTTAGTTTTGTACTGAAATAAGCTAACAACAAAGTCATGCATAAAAGGTAGATTAAATGATGCATTTAATAGGTACAAGGAGAAGTAGATGCCTGGGTCCATGGAGGGCTTGTCAATCAGTCAACATGTGCCAGGATGAATAACAGAATTCAGCAAGTTATAACTTTGTTGATGGCCAAGACTGTTGAAATTTCAGGTATTTTTGTTTATGTAAGCTATTTTCATATATTTGTGGAATATTCCAGACATTAACATAATATATTTAACGTAATATTAGAAAGTATATAGTTGTACGAATTTTTAGTTATTCAAAATAAAGTTAAATCATATTATAGATTTGATTTTAATTAAAATGAAGTGTTTTAAAAAAAACAAAACATTTAATGATATATTTATATAAAAGATTTCTGGTTTCAATAATTTCATAAAAAGTGTTTTTTTTTGGCAAGTCTTTTATTGCACCTAACTTTGATTTGTTTTTAGCATAAACAGAAAAAGAGTAAAGAATGTCATTATTTAAATTACATTATTTATTTTTATGTCTTAAGATCTAGAGATTAAAGAAAGTGAAAGTGAGATAAATCAAATGACTTTAGCAAAAAGCAATGATTCAACAAATCCTAAGCTCAGTCACACAAGCGAAGAATCCGAAGATAAAACGATGCCTAAAAGAGAAGACACACTACATAAATCAGGTAGATATTTGTTGGTACAAAATCTTTATTTCTTTAAAATGCTGGGGTTTTTTTTTTTTTGGCTGGCTTGCATGTATATGAATTCAATGATATGAATTTGCTTGAAACTAATTGATAAACTTTAATTTATATAATATATAAAAACAAAACAAGAATTTAAAAAAAACTAGGATTATCAGTGTTATGAAGGAGATGATTTAAAATACACTTATTGATTGTCCTTGATCAAAATTGGAAACAGTTAGTATGAGGCCATTTAAGAGAGGGATCATACATTTCCATTCCTTTGACTACTATGGTTAAAACTAATTTCAATTGATTTCAATTTCTATTGAAATACAGGTGAAGATACTGACAATATTTCCACTATGAGAATTTCCAGACTAGAGGAAGCTGTACTCTCACTTAAAAAGACAACAGAACATAGTCAAGAAAAACAAGAAATTGTCAACAAAAAACTGGAAATCTTAACAAACGCGAATTTAAAATCAAAGACAAAAATTCAAGGAAGACTTACTGAACTTGAGAAAACAAGCAAAGAAATTTCCTCAAATGTTGATGATTTGTTTGAAACTGTAACAAATGTTGATGAAAAGTTAAACAGATCAGAAGATGAAAATAAGTCTGTCAATGTCTCAATGAATGAACTCAATAAACAGATCAGCTCTGTTAGAACTTGTAGCAATGACGCCCTTATGTCCATACAAGATTTGTCAAAGAGCGTCGAGAGTTCAAATCAAAATTATAATGAAATGTCTAATAAAATGGATCAACTGGAAATCTCCATTAATCTGATGTCATCTCAGTACACCGAGCAGTTTGAAAATATGAGCAGTCTCAATACGGATAAAGTTGATGATATGGTAGTTAATAATATATTTTAGCTAAATTATGTTATAATAACCTTAGTAAACTGAATTAAGAATTTAAAGTGTTTTCATTTATTTCAAAGTAATTATGTTACTAAAACATGTTATTTTATAGGGTTTAATAATTAAAAAGAAAATTAAATACAATTAATATAAATACAAGGCATATATTTGATAAACATTAAAAAATATTTTAAATGACTAATTTTAATTATGTCATTAATCAAAATGTGGAAAAAAATAATTTAAAATGACATGACTGACAGATGTCAAGATATATAAAAACAACTATCCGGTTTTTTTGTATACCAGCATGACTTACTGCCATACGCATTGTACTAAACTAACACAATGTTTTTTTCTTTTAAAGTTTGGTATGGTATGTCAGATACTGGCTAAAAGGTTAACTCCATTGGAAGAACTAAGAGAAAATTTAAATACAACTATCAGTACAAGAAAAGAATTGTCACAAAAGGTGAATATACTTTTTTTTTTTTTTTAGATGTGTTCAACTTTTGTCATTGACACCATCAGTTTGATAAAAAAATAAACTTATTTTAGAAAAAATTTAAAAACAAATATAAATAAAAAAAAAAAATTATCACAAAAGGTTAATTTTCTTTTTTTTTTTTTTTAGATGTGTTCAACTTTTGTCAATGACACCATCAGTTTGATAAAAAAATAAACTTATTTTAGCATGCAAATGCTTTTGTGCAGTAAGTACCTGGAATATTAGACTTCCAGGTACTGAGTTAACTGGGGCTTTTCTGCAGCTGCCTTTCGGTTGGCTTCATGTTGTATGGAGTGTTTGTGTCTAGAGGAACACCACTTCACTTGATCCTTCTTCCGATTCTTCCCATTTTCGGGCTCTAAATCGAACGCTTTCAGTGAGGTTTTCAGGTTGTCTTTCAAGCGTTTCTTCTGTTCTCCATCAAACCGCCTTCAATGCTCGAGCTTACCATGGAATATTTTTTTGCTCATGCAGTCATCTGACCTTTGCACCACATGGCGCCTCAAGTGAAGCTTGGACTTCATTAAAATGGTGAGGATGCTAAGGACCTACTAGAACCTCAGTGTCTGGGAACCTGTGCTGCAAAGTGCAATTTGGTGATGAGGATTTTCATGAGACGTGCATCAAAGGGTTCAACATTCTTGCATGGTTTTATCTACTTGTCCGCGCTTCATGGGCATAGAGAAGTGTAGGGATCACAGTCGCCTTGTACTTGTATATTTGTATTTTAGTTTGATGATGGTTACACGTTGACGTGCACTTATTTCACTCTACAACATTTTAAGGCTATGTTATTGTTGCGCACTGGCCTCTATTGTGAGAAATTAATCTCTTGTTTTAAGTTATGGCTCGTTCAAACAGTTTCCTTTTGAACGCATTATTTTGTTTTACGATAGAGTATAGTGCGTTCAAAATGAAATTTGATGAATTATTTATCGTGGGAATTGAAAAGAATTTCCGTTCGATCAAATTTCCTTCGATCAATTTACCGTCGACGAAATCTTTCGATCAAATTTCCGGTAACCAGCATTCTATGCTAATGAACTATTTGATCTTAAAATTAGAACTGGATGTTATGTTGTTTTTTTTAAATTTTACTAACCTTTTTTATTAGTGTTAAGACCATTTTGACCTTATCGTCCAGCCCATTAAATGTCTTGTACTTGATATGATAACACCAACACTTACACGACAAATGGAATCGTCGTTTGGTGTATTGATAAAACAAACCTAAATCCATTACCTGATGGATTTACTAAAATATGGGAACTGATTTGAAATAAAGCAATTATATGCTGATCGACGCTTAAAACTAGAGATAAACTCTTCGTGAAAAGGGATTTCTGTCAAGGAATAAATTGATATCGACTTTTGGTTGTTGTTTTTTTTGTTGTTGTCTGGGTAATCAAAAGGGTTTACACTGCTGTTTCGTATGACACTTTAATCAATGTTTTCCAGTATATCACGCTCATTCTATTTTCTTGTAAATTGTTAACATTTTCAGGTCCAAAATCCAATCTACGATGATCGCCAAAAGCCAAGCTACGATGACGCCCAACACAGAGTTGCTTTCACCTCTGCTCCTCGGATCAACTTTTGGCCATTTCCATTGCCGCAGGGTGCAGAGCCAGGAGTCAGAAGCGCAATTAGGGGGGCGGGCAGAGGTGCCCCTGGTACTCAGCCACAAAAAAAGCTTGACAAATATTAATATAATTGAACCACTTTGCCCCTGTTATAATTCATAATGAGATTGTGATTGTGAAAAGTCTGCACTTAATTTGAGAGCAGCGGGAGAGATCCTAATTAAAAATTTAGGTTTCACTTTACCTCAGAGTGGGGGGGGGGGGGGCCTCCGATATTTTTGGGTTTTAGTTGTGCTGTAGACACTTTTTGTATAATCCAATTAGAATGTAAGGTGGTGGAAAGACAAAACCTAAAATTTTGCAGGTGGGTCTCAGAAATTCAAGCGATGTCTCTGCTTAACCTAATTTTGCTATATACATATTTTTTTACATTACTAAACAACGGTGGTTTTAAATATTATTTAAACTATTTTTGGGGTAAACTACTAAATAATTAAGATTTTTTTTTAACTTCCAAAAAAGATTTTCATCACAAAAAATCACTGCCAACATTATTTTAAATGTTGAACGCAATTGAAAAAACATATTTTCAACAAATTCATTTTTCTAAATAATTCCAAGTTGTTATTATGTGTCAAAAAGAGAAAAAAAAATATTGTCTATAAAAAACTATACATTTTAAGGCGGTTCAAAAGTGGTTATTTTTATCAATTCTTTAAGAAATGCATATTTATTTTAAAAAGTCATGGGTTGTTTACAAAAGACAACTATTGATTAATGTGTGAATTTATCCATGCGAAAATCGTAAAATAATAAGTATAAATATTCCTTAATTCAGTTAATTAAAAATTTCATTTGGGATTTTACACAACTATAACTTTATTCAATGAATTTAAAATCTCATTTTCGATATACTTAAAAGTCATTTTTTTAAAAAACAAAGCCATAGAATTTAGTGTCAATTTGAGCCTCTAGATGGAGGATTTTTATTTCAAAAATTCATAAATAAAATGGAAGCGGCATAATATTCGAAATGCTTTTTTTATTATTTTTTTTTTTATTTTTAATCGATTTGCTTTATTTTCATCTAAAAAAATAAATGTTTTAAAAAATGCGTGCAGATAGATTGGTTGGGAGGGGGGGGGGTGGGTGGTCGTTTATTTTTCTGATAGTAATTTTTTTTTTTTTTTTTTTTTTTATTTTTAATCGATTTGCTTTATTTTCATTTAAAAAAATAAATGTTTTAAAAAATGCGTGCAGATAGATTGGTTGGGAGGGGGGGGGTGGGTGGTCGTTTATTTTTCTGATAGTAAAAAGAGACAAGTTGTTGGGTATTTAATATACATAAGGAAGGCTAAGTTTCTTTTTTTTAAACTCTGATATTCCGGAAACTGTTACAAAAGTAAGGCATCAAGAGAAAACTTAAGAGATTTCGCTTTAATAATAATTGGTGAAATTTTTTCTATTTGTGTACATACGTTAAATTCTTCTTTTTTTTTGTTTTGAAAAAAAAATATATCAATTTTTTTATTTTTTTTACGCATGAGGCCATCTTACACTTTATAAGTAACTTTAAATCCCTATTTTAAAAGTCAACTTTTATTTTTAAAATAAAATTTGAAAACATATTGCACGTTTGATACTTAACAAGAATTATTTTAAATTATAGACCTTTTTATTGAAGTTACGGTAGTTAATAAAGTTTTATTAAAGTCTTTAAGCTTGTGAAGTTTTTAAAAAAGTAAGTAAATAAAAATACTTATATATGCGAGCAACATGATGTAAGCTACAGCTTATAATCAGGAGCGGCTATTTTCGAAACAGTGTGATATTTATTATCGAATTGCGTAAGCCTCTAACGAGATTATTCTTAAGTAGAAGGAATATCAAATCTATCGAGCTTAGCAATATTTCACGGTTTCAACTAATTGCAATCGGTTACAGGCATCAACCATGACGAGATTCATGATGGTGTTCAACGTTTTAAAATTACAGGACCGATTTTTTTTTTTGTATTTTAACAGTAATTAAAAAAAAACGCAAGCAAAAATGTCCAGTTACACCTGAGCTTTTAAGTTAAACCAGCGGTTCTCAATCTGTGGGTCATGACCCCTTTAGGGGTCGCACGACCCTTTCCCAGGGGTCACCTTACAAAGTCTTACTGGTATAATAATATGAAACCTTATGGTTTTGAAAGATGAAAAACGAGGCTTTGAGAATATTGATACATGAAAACCTTTTTTTTTTAATGTTATATTGATTGTACTGTGTTCGAATTTCACGAGCTCGAATAATTAGAATCAGGTTATAAACTAAAACATGCACATATAAGTTTAATGAGATATCGTCTTCTTTTACATTCTCAGAGAACACTGCGAGTGTAATAACTTACTTAAGACGTATTTAATATTTTACACTTAACATGTTACAAAAATTAGCATACAGTGAAATGAATCATACGAAATAAGTCACTACATGTTTTTTTGTTGGATGAATTTATTCAAAACATTTTCTTAGAATGAATAAACCATTTTTTTCAAAATCAAGATACTCTTTTAATAGTGTTTTTTTTTTTTTAAATGTATCACAAAACGTTTAATAAGCATGGAAATTTTCAAATATAATTTACCTTCTATAGCTTGACATGAACATTTATGAACATAATTGAAACGTTCGTTGGGTTTGTCTGAGAGATATTTGTCAAAAAATTATATATTTTTAAAAAAATACTACTGAACTAAATAAGAATAAAGATGTGCTTAAGGGGGTGCTGATTAAAAACTGGGGGGAGAGGAAGTCTACCAAGCACAATCAATCATAATAAAAATAACATATTTACATATAAAATGTTAAATCTTAATAGAAAAACAGGGGGAGGGGGAGAGAGTTATACCCGAGGAGCTCTGCCTTACAACACTCTATATATACACATATCAGGCGCGGTACTTCCAGTAATAATCAAAATGGAGCGTACCGTATTTAGAGTGAACGATGTAAAAAATAAAATATTTACATATAAAATGTTAAATCTTAATAGAAAAACAGGGGGGGGGGGAGAGAGTTATACCCGAGGAGCTCTGCCTTACAACACTCTATATATACACATATCAGGCGCGGTACTTCCAGTAATAATCAAAATGGAGCGTACCGTATTTAGAGTGAACGATGTCAGTTACCAGATAGCCCCACTACTTTAAACACATTTTTTTTTCATTTCTCGAGACAACTATTAATGCAATTTAAAAGAAAAAAAGAATTGTGTTGTTATCTTTCAAGTGTTTTTTTTATATTTTTGAAATAATACATCCACCCATCAATTGTTGGCCTGTAAAATTTCATTATTATTCTAAATCGAAAGCTCAATATTTTTTTTTAAATTTTATTTAAAAAAAAGGTTCATTATTCATGAAAAAATAGAATCATGAATTACTTATTACTATTATTGTTCGTCCGTCGAAGATCGACGATGACCATCGAGTCGTCAGGTGACTGATGACTTGCGCTAGTGACTTGCGTTTAAAGTGAGGAAGAGTTGCGCGGCGTCAACCTCACCCTCTCGTCCTGGCCCACCATATCCAATGGCAAGACTCTACGTCAAGACGACCAGGGATGGGTACAGTTGCAGGAATTGTCCTTGTATGCGACTTAAGGGACTCCAACACCGGGTTTGAATTCAGAGTTTCCTTCTCTTAGATGAGTTTGCCGACCAAGGTTAACGAGTCTCATCCACCCGGGGTGATGTTTATGCTTGACTGGCCTTTGGCTGGACTTTAACTCCAGACCACAAACTTGAGGTTTGCTCAGTTTAGACCATTCGGCCATCCAGTCACCCATATTACAATTATTACTAACATGGAAAGAATGACGGGGAGGAGAGGGGGTGGGGCTCTGATCAGTTTAAGTCACCTCGGGGCATGCACAGGGATTATTAAAAATGAACAGAAAATCAGCTGATTCCTCTAGCAGACATTTATAGAATTAACAGATATTGTTTTTTTTTCAAATTTTGTAAAAAGAAACATATTTTCTTTTTACGAAATGACATCTAGTATTGAAATACACTTAAGTTAATTGTATATATATAAATATTTCAATAACTATGTCATCTGACATCAACTCCTATTACAGATTACAAAACACCATCATTACAAAAAAATGGAACTTACATCAACAAAAAATTAAATGTATCCCCCCCCCCAACCCTATACCTAAAACACACACACATATTCCCAAACACACAGAGGGAGAAAAAAAAAGACACACAGTAACTTCTCAAGTGGAAATATTTTGTTTATTATGCGTTAAAACATTAATATATGTAGCAAATAGCGTTCATCTAAGGGCACATTTTTATGATATCTGGTATCTTCAGTGGGAAACTGCAGTGGGTCGTTGGTGAGGGGGTGGGGTGGTGGTAGCAGATGACGACTGGGGGTAGTAGATAACGACTGGATATGAACAACGATCATGTGTTTGCGGCAAGACAAATTTTCATTAAAGTCTAACATGCGCCATAGTGCACTTGGTAGATGACCACAGAGGGCTGGATGCAATTGGACAGGTTCAATAGACACGAGTTCCTGTACGTCCTCCCGTCAGAGCCACACACCGGGTCATGGTCGAATGAGCAGGCGCTGTCGCATAGCGCTGCGCTGGACGCTGAGGGGAAGACCCAACATGACTTTGATTAAATTTATTGTTGGCCGGTGATGAAATGAAGAGATGGAAGAAAACAAACAATTTCTTGTAGACTAATTCCAATTAAAGATAACATCACATGCTAAATTTAAGGTAGAGCAGGTATGGACTTTAAAAAAAAAGAAATCAACTTTCAATCTTTTCGTGTTTAAACTAAACCTTGCCTCGATATGAACATCAACAAAGTATATGTAATAACAACAAAATGGTGCAACATACACTATTCTTGAAACATAAATATTTATAAATAACTTCGATTAAGATAGTAATTTCTATGACATGAAAATTTAACATTACATTCCCATTTAATAGTATACGTAGATCCAGTGGGGAGGACTGCGTTCGTACCACATACTTTCAGTGTCTCATTCACTGTACCAGTTACTACAGGAAACATCACCGATAGTCAACTAAATGAATCGTATCCTTATGAAGAGGATCCAATAGCTCAATTCGTGTGTTGATGAATTCTACTGAAATAAAAGTAGGGCGTCTGACGAGCAACTAACTTTATACAATGACAAACACATACGGACGATGCCTCGTGCCAACAGTCGTAATGCAAAGTATGCTAACATGGTCAGGTGGAGATTAAACGACTTGCCCTTTCATGTCAAAACATTGCTGTGGGCGTATCAACAAACAACAAACCTAAAGCGATTGCAGTACAAATTGTGTGGGACCCATTTTCAAAAAAATAAAAGATGGTGGGGCAATAAAATAAATTTGGAGAATAAAAAAAACGCCAAACAATATCGTCAAAAATACGAGGCAGGATCTTTGAGTCAAAGGTCAATGAAATTAATTAAAATTAACTAACTGGCGCATTGTTGACGTATCAGCTTTAAGACCAATGCCAAGGAATAGAATGATCACAAGGAACACACATCTAGCATTGAACCTGTGAAACATGATACGAATGGACTTCAATGTCAGTGGAGACCGAAGTTGACCAGACACCTTTAAATAAATGCTCAGGTGCGTTAAAAAAAATGAATACATCTCGTGTAAGTAATGAAGCTGAATACATCACGTGTAAGTAATGAAGCTGAATACATCGCGTGTAAGTAATGCAGCTGAATACATCGCGTGTAAGTAATGCAGCTGAATACATCGCGTGTAAGTAATGGAGCTGAATACATCACGTGTAAGTAATGCAGCCGAATACATCACGTGTAAGTAATGGAGCTGAATACATCACGTGTAAGTAATGCAGCGAGGGTTCTTAGACATTAAACCAGCGGCCCAACCAATGATGTAGGAAAACTTAATTTTCCTCTTCACGGTGTTTTTTTTACTCCAGTGTTTGGAACATTGAGCTAATGAACAGTATGTATCTATAGATAACAAGGCAAACTATCACAGAACTTCATTATCTTATTGAATTTGTTTGAATTGTGGAACTAGATCAAAATGACCACCAAAATCCAGTAAAAGTAAATGTATAATTAAAAAAAAAAATTACATAACAAAAACTACTTCTTACAATAGTATTTTAAATATCCACATAGTATTTATGAAGTAAGTTAGTCGAAGTTTTGTTTGTTAGTGATAAGTCACTAAGATTTTTAAAAAAACACACGCATTAGCATGCATTCAATATGTTTGTCGGATTAAATTCAACTACAAATATTAAAATTCAATTTATACATTTGCATTTAGATGTTGGTGACAGTGAGATCCGTTGACCCCGAGGCCCACCTTGTGAGACTAGCGGACGCTTGTATTTGTTTCAGGTGCCAAAGTCTTTTGACCAAAGACATGTCAATGCCCCTAATTCAAAAAATTAAAGAGTGTAGTATAATATAATTTGTAAAACATTTTGGTCAATATAAATTTGAAATAAATTATTTTGTTTAAAGTCTAAATTTTTTTCTTTTGGTCTGCTTCTTAGTCCACCGCTAACATATGTGGAGCGTACTTACGTACAAAAATTAAAGGAATTTTGTGTCAAGAAACAACGGATTATTTCGGAAAATTGAATGTCAGGTGTGTAAAAGTCAGATGTGAAGAAAAACAGGATATAAAGCTTACATACACTTTCTTTAAAAAAATCCACTACTTGTATACCATAGACATTTTACAGTACAAGGCTGGCTTGCAGGTTAATAAGTAGGTCACGTGTGTGCCACCTCTTGACCATTTTCTCAGTGCGTCGTTCGTGCAACAGGTTTTTAAAAAAAAAAAAATTGTATGGACAGGGCAAAATACTACCAGTATTAATTTAAAATGGCATGGCCGTGTGTTATTCGTGTATTATTGTGAATTTAGCTAGTTAACTGTTCTCATGACTTACACATGCCTCAATCGGTACTTGATGTGGCATTCTCAAAATATGTACATTTTAAATATAAATGGGCTGCCTTTCATGTATTAGTTATTTTTTTTTTTCAAATTCAACTCGACATGCTCCTGATTAAAAGGCGCGATAGATTATAAGGAAAAAGTTTACAAAGATAAGACGCAATGTCAAGTCAAAGATATGTGTAAAAATCTATTAATGACTGATTTTGAAAGATAACGTTTTAAACGGATATCTTCAACGCAGTCATGAGGTTCAGTCAGTGCTTAGTGTCGTTAGATTAAGAAGACAGGAGCGATTTGAATCCATATAAAAATAAATGTTAACATTTAATAATAATGGTTTCTGGCATTTTAAATTCTTATGATACTACAATTTAAAAAAATATTAAATCAATGCTTTTTTGGGTTTTTGTTGTTGTTGTTACATGGACAGAAGAAAGTAATAAAACCTATCTGAAGACACATACTTCAGTTAGAAATGTAGCGATTTAACGACTCCATAGACAGCGACGAGGCCATTTCAGGCAATTCAGGGTCATACCAGCAAAAAGCCAGTATAGGAGCTGCTCATTCCTGCCCAAGACAATCAGGGACTGGAACCATCTTTCAAAAGGAACAGTTGAGGCGACAACACTAGACACATTTGTGTCTATTGCCTCAAGCGAAGTTTGGGGATCACGTATTAAAGCTCATCACCACCAGTAACAGAAACATTGCAAATCCCATCTACATGCATAGGAGCCAAAATGATCAATAAATTGATCGTGGGCCCTTAAGATATAGAAGAAGAAGAAGAGTAGCCTTACATCAAATCACAAACAAAAGGTTTGTTTCTGATATGGGAATAGTGAAACGTGCAGTTATAAGTGAGTAGCTAATATTAATATCTTATTAAAATTAATTCATTTGTTTAAGACTAGAGACCGACCGAATTTCGGCTTCGGTTTCGATGCGGAAATTCACAATGTGATCACTTTCGGCCTAATTTTGGTTTCGGCCGAAAAAAGAAAAGTTAAATTTCAGTTTAATTCTGGTTTCGGTCGAAAGTGTTTGAGACTTTCGGCCATGTGGTCGAAATTGACTGAGGTTTTCGGTCATCTACCACAAGTCCAACTGTCTGTCTGTCTCTAGGCCAGCAATCAGATATTCCTTATGGCTCGACGTCTTGCTGACATCCCATGTTATATGATTGACTAGTTGTCTGCGAAAACTACTCACAGCTGCATGGTGAATACTTCATTTCGAAAAAAAAAATTAATTTCAAGTAGGACAAGTCAATACCGGTGGTTTTGTGGAAGAAAAACTAATGGAACAGTAATATTTATATCATTATTTTTTATTTTTTTTTCAAGAATAAAATTTTGAACCCTGGTTTATTCAATTCATTCATTCGTTATATTTATTTTGATTTATCATTATCATGCTCATCAATGTCGTCATAAGCAAAGGGAAGTAATATTGAATAATCCAAGGAAATTATAATATTTCCATTTTTATTTTTTAATTCGTTAAAGTCACAGACCATGCGTATGCCACGCAAAATTAAGCTAATTGAATCTTACACACTTGACTTGTTTGTAACGTTGACCAATTCAATACAGGAAGATTTCCACATTGAAATCTTGAAGTGCAACATAGAAAAAAGATTACAATGTGAAAAATTATGTGCTTTTCAATCCCTGCTGTAAATCATGAAAGAAATAGACATAGCCAAATAAAATGCATTGAAAATATAGAGACAAGTTAACAGACAAAAAGATTTAAAGGGAGTTTTATTGATAGCGTAGTAACTTAGTACATGTAATGTCCAAATATTAAATTTTTTTTTTTTTTTTGCCTTTTACGCCGAGAACTAATTCTTTATTGGGGGTAAAGAGCGCACTTAAACACAAATGCCATCATGTCGAAATATGGCGTCTTTCGGACAGTTGAGCACATTTTCAAACCAATTCAAACATAAACACCACCATGGCGAAGTCTGACGTCTGCTTCGGCCTGTGAGTTGCAGTTGGATTTCTCCAGGTAGCAGATGTTTCTGTACGTCACATGATCGCTGCCACAAACAGGGGCGTAGGTCGCGAGCAGTCGGTGGTACAGAGGTTCGGTATCACTGTAGATTGTGTTCAAATGTTCAGTAACCGTTTAGATTATAATTAAATTTGAGATTTTACTGAATATTTACATTAAAACAGTGTTTCCCAAACGGTGGTACGCGTAACCCTGGGGGGGGGGGTCTTGAATGAGTTTGGCAGGGGTAAGCGTTTGTGTACTAAAAAGGGGGGAAAAATTGTATTGCTATTAATTTATATGTATTTTTTACGAGTGGTACTCAGTGTTACCGTGGTAACTCAGTTATAGACATGGGTACACATATGTCGAACATTTTAGAAACACTGCATGAAACTTTTGGTTTTCCTGTAGATCTGAATTAGCACCGTATTCACATAGATGAAATCCAGTCTTTACATCATCGTATATTTTACACCGCGATATGTTTCAATGTAGTCGAGCTTAAAGCTCTTTTTTTTCTATATATAAAACATATGACATAACCATTTTAGCTTCTAAAACAGATGTTTAACATAGTAACAGTTATAAAATGGGAAAAGTATATTCTTAAGTGTCAGCTTGTTACGTTAGGTACTCAGTGTGCAGCTATATGTGAACCTATTTTGTATGACTATCTTCTATGTGTTGCTAGATTATTAGCATGGAGGATGTAACACTATAAGACTTGAAAACAATATTCTGGACTCTATTAGACCAACGAAATCACAAAATTGGTTAAAAATCGCCTCATGTATGATTAAACGTATATACTTTATCAGGTATGTAATATATTTTGAAGCACGATATCATCAAAAGGTAATAGAAAATACCGTCAGAATCATGAAATCTAATGTTTAATTTTTTTATTTTTTTTAAACTGCATCAGATTTATTACTGTCTATTACTAGAAATAAAATAACCTAGAGATATTGCGAGTGTGGACACGCTAAGTCACTCACCAGCCGTTTCGCTGTAACATAGATGTAAAACGACCAAGGAAACGATGACTTGTGTGCGTTTGTTAACAAACATTGTAAAAAGCAACTCAGTCTTTGTTTCACTCTCCTGCAGCGGTGCGAATTTATATAAATCATTTAACGATCCTTGGTTAAAGCTATCTAGACGCTTGTCGAATCAAGGTCACATCTAGATGATGTTTCATCGTGATCGTAGTTTCGTTTCAAGCACGTTTCATTAAGGCTTATTAAAAAGTGGTCTTTTAAATTTTTTTTTTATATTTGATGACAAACGTTACATTGGAGATGGCGTCGGTGGGTGGTCGAGCGCGAGCTCTTAATAACCCCCCCCCCGGGGCACACCTCCACACCGGCCAGTCTCCGGGTCTCCCCGCCGCCAGAATGTGCGGAAGCACTTACGGGAAACATCGCCCCCCCCCGGCCTGGGGGGATGTCCGGTCGACTGAAAACGCTGCGTTTAAAGCGTTCGCGGTCCACGCTCCGTCAGATGACGAGCAGATCAGGCAACTGCATTGTACTTTGTGCATCTAAACATCGGTCGTAGGTGAAGTGTTTACCAATTTAAGCTGTTGCAACTTTTCAATGTTTTTATGCTATCGTCCAGTGTTCTTAACTTTTAGAATTAATAGTTCGACATGATTTAAACAGCTGAATGTCACTCTTGGAAAAACAAATGTTCCATTTAACGTTATTGCTGAAGAGCAAAATGTGTGGTTAAAAAGGATTCTTGTTATTTGCCTTGTAGTATTTTATTTCTTAGGTCGTAAATTCGTAACACATGTTTCAAAAAAAGTAAATAAATAAAAGATGGCAAAAAAAAAAAAGGAAAAAAAATGGAAATCCAAAATAGATTGCAATTTTATCTCTGTAGAAGATTATCTTTTATATTTTCATTCCTTTGCCCCAGATAAAATGTGTGGTTAAAAAGGATTCTTGTTATTTGCCTTGTAGTATTTTATTTATTAGGTCGTAAATTCGTAACAAATGTTACAAAAAAAGTAAATAAATAAAAGATGGAAAAAAAAAAAAAAGGAAAAAAAATGGAAATCCAAAATAGATTGCAATTTTATCTCTGTAGAAGATTATCTTTTATATTTTCATTCCTTTGCCCCAGATTTTGACCAGCATATAATTATTATTGTGTTGTACAGGGTCAGATTGTACGCACCTCTGACTGTTAGCTCAAACACGGTTCTTGACAAAGTGGTCTCATTGGGACCGAGGAATCTTGATGGAATAAAGAAATCCTAGTTTTGCCTTGAGGTAGACTATGTGGAAAAAACTTTTTCGCTCCCACATGAGCCAGAATGATCCATACTTTTATTTTGCGCCCTTAATATTGTAAGGAAACCTTGCTTGCTCTCTGCTAACCGTCATCTATATCTGGCATTCACTAAGGAAACAACTCAGGCGATAACAATTGATGATTATAATCTTGTTCTTTATTAGGCTGACACTTCGCTTATACTTTCTCTCATCTCACAACTCTGACTGCCCTCTTCTCATACCGTCCGAGTTCTCCCTGCTATCTGCTTCTCTGTCCGGCCGCGTCTTTTTGCGTCCCGTCCAGAGGTCCCTATTTATAAGTCCCTGGTTCATAGAGTTCCCTTCCCAGGTCTGTACTCGCGCCGCCCCTTTTCCTCAGTCGGCGCCAGGTTACCAACCAGTCGTCCCAGGGAAATGCCCTGGTCAGATGGCCGGTACCGCCCCCGGCGCTTGATCCGTCGATCGTGATCCCTGGTCAGATGGCGCCGGCTGTACCTGGTCAGACGGCCGGTAATCCCTGGTCAGACGCCCCCGGCGCCGTCGTGATCCGAACTCTCCACAATCCCCGGCGCCGTCGTGGTCCGAACTCTCCACAATATATAGACACGGTAGAGGAAGAGGCATTCCCCGTGCGTTGAGTAACAATGGTGTCATGCGATACGACGTTGACAAAAATAACATGTTTTAACACAAACATGAGAATCAGATACGCAACTGCATATAATTTAAGCTAACCTTCCCATGTTAAATGATCAACCTAAGTTTGTTTTATGCTAACAAATCCAAGCTATGTGTAGTTTTTAAGTAAGTCCTTTATATTAAATTCGCTTTTGTTTGTTTAGGGTGAAATTTTCGAACGACTAATTGACCCACTTTCCGTTAACCTATCGAAATTAAAAGTGGCACAAAGTCTTGTTGCCGATGACAACTCATTCTTTTAAATCTTCTGACACACCCCACCCCCCCCCCCCCCAACGAAGATGATGATATTATTCGTCTTTTTCAGCTAAATGTCAGAATTTATGATTGCTTTGTCTTGCTGTTGATATGTATCTTTAGACTATATTTATCTTAAAAAGGTGTGCATTCTTTTCGTCTATAAAAGGACAATTATTTACATTAAGATCAACTCCACATCCTAAAATCTCCCCCCCCCCCCTAAACACCCTCCAGCACACTTGCTGACGCCCTCAAGCCCACACAGTCATTTCACGATAGTTTTAATAAATGAAACAAAACGAATAAATTTGGTCTACACCATCATATTGTAAATTATCGAAATTTATTTCGAAGGCATTGTCTTACGACACTATTCAATTCACTGTTCTTACGTCAAGCACGCGTCACCCATTTTCGGAAATGTTCACAGGTTTCCTAGCAAACGCCCGTCTTCACCTGCGTAATCTTGCCGCCGGCTGGTTTGTCGCAGTTAGCCTGCAGCAGGAAGCAGTTGTTTCTGTAGGTGATGCCGTCAGACCCACACAAGGGGACGTACGTGTAGTAGCATTCTAGACCACACTGGGACCAGTCGTAAACTGCATGTCAAAAGGCAGGAGTAGGAAAAAAAAGTATTTTACCATGGTTTTAATTGAACCAAGACACACGAATCGCCCCACCTATTCAGCTCTACAAAGGTAGATTTATGCCAATAGTCTCCCTAAAATTATGTTGCAGCAACAGCAGTTTGACCCAGATGCTCTCATTGACTAAACATCTATTTGTTCACTTTTGTTTGAACAAATCTCAAACATTTAACTAACCAGACGACTTTAAAATGAAAAAAATACAAAAAACAAACGAACATATGATTTTGGAGGTGGGGTCTAGAGGGCTGGATGTCGTTAATGATCATTTTCTTCATAATATTATTAATTCAGACTGCCGCAAGTTTAATATAAAAAGTTGTTGGAAGAAGCTGCCTACGGATCGGAGGACGAGCCTGCTTCCACTTCCTGCCACCGTCAGAGATTCTGTTCCAGAGCCGCCGCATGTCATAGGCCTGTCGTTTGTTTCTCAAGAAAACGCCTCAATCGTTGCTTCCTCCCAAGTTCGACCAAGCGGAGGGCATTTTTTTTTTTTTTAAATTTAGTTATGTTATATCCCTTCCCCTGCGGTCCCATTACACACACAAACACACACACACACGATCTTACCAGGACCAATCAACAAACGTAGTTGACTGATAATGATAATTAACACAAGTCAAATGATGTTGTTGTCATTCTCTTTCAAGTTAAACTATTGTAGTCTAGAGCACTGCACAGAGTACACAGAAAATGTCGGGAGTGAACGACAAGACAATGCAGATCCACAGTATAAACAAACAGGAATATAGATATTTAACTAGATTCATCCAACTTTCTTAAGTGAATGGCCATTGTTGATGTACTCGCACGCAAATTTTTGTTTAAAGCAGGCGAATGAAAAATATTTAAATAACATTACCGTACGATACTGAAGAATTTAGCATTTAAATACTCAATGGTTACAAAGGCAATTTTAAAAAATGGTAAAGCAATAAAGTGTTTACTTACTCTCTGCTGAAGTTTGCCCAAGCAAGACAGCTGACGTGAACAGTAGAGTAAAAACATGAAGTTTAGTAAGCATTTATCTTTGTAAACACAACAAAAGACTTTATTTTAACAGATAAATTACACAAATACATCTAGTGTTCCTTCTTAAATTTAACTTCAATATGAAACTGTTCTTCCTTTTTTTTTATGTTAACTTTTTTAAATTCATTTTGCAATCTTATCTGTATATCTTTAGGTATTCAATTTTAATGTCACACAATCAACAGCATGCAAGGCCTCGCGTTTATGATTGTATTTTTCTTCACCCGTACATGCCGCTATTCTGCCCCTGGACAAATGTGTTTCTATTATGAAAGAAACTCAATACAAACAATGTACGGACTATTATGTTCAGATACTTTTCCTTTTCCTTTCTTGTTAATATAATATACGGTTACTGTTTGTGGGAGGGAGCTCTAAAAATGTGATACCCGTCCTAACCGTTAACGAAAACTTTGTCCGTCAAAGACCCTGAGACACACATAGGCCTTTATTTATTATCCGAATATTTTGTGTCGTAAAGTTCGCTGCACATACCGATACAAAAAGCAATCGATGAGGACGGCCTGTGTGTCTTCTTTGATTGGATCTACATGCGGAACGCACACACAGTCATGAGGTGGACCTGTCATTATGTGGACCTGTCATTAGGTGGACCTTTTCATCTTTGAACATGAACATATCTTTCTTTTTTTCTTTTTTTTTAAATATGGACTCTCAAGTATTCTCAAAAAATTCCCCCCAGTCAATTCATGTCGATCAATTCATGCGGACCTAGTCATCACAATCCATTTACCCCAGTCAATTTATTCAGAACCATTGATCCCAATCCATTCATCCCAACCCATCCAACCCAAACCATCGAACCCAACCCATCGAACCCAACCCACTCATCCCAAGCCATTCATCCAATCTCATTCATCCCAGCTTATTCATCCCAACCCATCGAACCCAACCCACTCATCCCAAGCCATTCATCCCAGCTTATTCATCCCAACCCATCGAACCCAACCCACTCATCTCAAGCCATTCATCCCAGCTTATTCATCCAAACCCATCGAACCCAATCCACTCATCCCAAGCCATTCATCCCAGCTTATTCATCCAAACCCATCGAACCCAACCCACTCATCCCAAGCCATTCATCCCAGCTTATTCATCCAAACCAATCAATTAACACCCCAGCCAGTAGACCTCTCGCCCTTTGCCGACTTACCAGCATTGAGTGTAATGCTATCAAGGGAAGATATTTGAATTACTATAAATGAAAGCAGGCGTACATAGATATATTCTTAATAACAAAATATATGTATAAAAACGTACACAATATAGACAAAAATAAGCTGAAAATGAAATAACAAAACAGCAACAGAAATTAACGGCATGAGCAACTGAAATGTATCAACTAAAAATAGTGCAGAGAGTAAGATGAACATACAATTTTCGTCATTAAAAAAAAAAAAAGATTTATTTGTTTTTTTTTTAAAAAAGCTTAATGTCAATGTAGATTATACTTTTAATTTAACTAGAATAATTTGAATACCCCAAATGGCAACACACTACAAGCTAAACATCCATGACCATATTGCTGACACTGCACTTTTTACTTCCATCTTTATATCACCAAAGCAAAGATCTCTTGTGTGACGTGCTATAATTACGATGGCTTGTGATGGTCTTCAACCTCAACTCGATATATTTCAATCATAGTAAAACTATAAAAGGTCAAAAACGTTTGACAGTGGTGCTGTATTTATATGTTACAAATGGTGCGGTTTCTTTCGTAACACTCGTTTTGCAAAAATGTTGGATGTAATGCAAACGTTCTAAAATGAGGGTATTTAAAAGATCTTTCTTTTAAAGTTGATGACTATTCCTAGGAATAATAGAGAAGTTTTGGGTTGTTGATTTCTCTCATCAATTTATACCTTGCCCTGTTAGATAACATACATTTCATAATCTAGTCTAGTAATGTTTTACTTTTTGAGACGCAGGGTCTTTTAATTCCTACAATCCCTTGTCAAATTTATACAGATGTTTTGTCCTTGTAAGAAATATTTAATTTAAGTAATAGAAACAAAGTATGACTAATTAAAAAAAATTATTATGGAACATTTTATTTTTAAACTTGATAATCAACTGAATGGTTGGGCTCAGCAATGGCCTTTGTGAACAACAGTTATCTGGCCATCGGCCGGCCTGTAGCAGTTGTCTTGTGCCAGGTAACAGGCGCTGTTGTGTGTGTTACCGTCAGAGCCACATACCGGGTCCTCCACGTCAGGACAGCCGATGTTGCACGCGCTGTCAACTGTTGGATGTTGACAGGATTTGTCAGATTGTTAACGCTTTATTACTTTTTGAAGAAATAAATTTCACGATAAGAGATAAAATAAATCACATGAATTCTTCATTACCAACAAATTGAAATCGAATAGTTCGCTGAAAAAAACAACAACGAACACACAAAAACACAGGCGAGAATATGTGACCGGTAAAATATTATCCTAAAGTATATTAAAAGTTATTCCGAGAAACTTATTTGCCTTACGATAACTACGAAAAAAAATATTTTTTTTTGAAAAGGTATTTCAAAATATTTATTCTAATTTATTAATGCAAAACAAGACCAAGAAAAATATATATGAATACATTTCTTTATTAATTAACTATCTTTCTTTTGAAAGCTATGTCGATTTGTTTAATTCAGTTACGCACTTTGTCTCTTTTACTGAATCGTATAGCTTTGGTAGACCAAGTACTATTTTAACTACAATATAATAGTGCAAAAATTAATTTAGTCAAGCTATAAAACTAAATAATATCGTGTTTTCTAACGTAAAAAAAAAATATATTACCGTTCGTCACAAAGAGACACGCTAAACACAAGGCCACAGTGGCTGCACTCATCATATGCAATTTGAGAACCATCTCTAAAAAATATTTATTTGCAGAGCGTGTGGGCTTTTGACGCCAAATCAATTGGTTGATTAGATGTTGTTGTAAACTTTCTTTAAATAGTGTTCTTTGAAGGTAAACAAAATGTGTTCACAGTACTACTAAATCTTATTCTTAACTCTATCAGTAAGTTAGATGCCGTAAAATATGCATTTAAGATGTATAATGGTTACTGTAGGTCAAAGATCAACAACCAGGTTTTATTTGGATGGCGTGCAAGCAAAGCTGGCCCCTTGTTCAGTTTGATTTTTTTGACGCAAGTATAGTAAATTATTAATGACCTCAGATAGGGGCAAAGTTCAAATGTTTGGAAAGATATTGGTTTATATTCTAAGGAACGCCCTGTGTAAGGAGGTAATTAAACAAAATTACTAACTGAAAAGGCATGTTACGATTGCTCAGGTACATGGACCAGGAATCAAGTGTACATAAGCCGCGCTTATTCATTTCTTGTTTAAGATTTAAACTTTTGAAATTGTAAAAAAAAAAAAACCCTCACGAAGTCGTCACCTGGCCCAAAAGCTTGAGATCTGATCTCCTACACATGTTGTCCTACCTGTGGGTAGTTTGTGAGACAAGAGTTTTTCCTTCATTTAAAGTTAATATCTGCTGTGGATCCTTCCCACTATGTAGCAATAAAATACCATCAGAGAAATTGTATGACTTTTAGTTTCTAAAAAAACATATTTGCAGCCTAGCTTAGCATTCTTAGATTGATTTGACTCGACCATCTTTATTTAGAACCAAAATTAATGTAGATGATACACCTCTCTTGTTAAAATAATGTGCGATGATGACTTTACCATCTTCATTAGAACCAAAATTAATGTAGATGAGACACCTCTCTTGTTAAAATGATGTGCGATGAACCAACAATTTGAATTGAACAAAAGGAAGCTCTGCGTATTGGAACGTGACTCAGCTTTGTTTTTGTGCTTTGCTCAAGTTTGATTTATTGCTTTATAGCATATTTTTTAGTTGTAAATTAGAAATTTAAAAAAAAATTAATAAAAAAATAAACAAACACATTCCACCTATAACGCAACACACTACCCATACAACATCATTCCATCTATAACGCAACACTCTACCCATACAACACCATTCCACCTATAAAACAATATTCCACCTAAAACGCAACACTCTACCCATACAACACCATTCCACCTATAAAACAATATTCCACCTAAAACGCAACACTCTACCTATACAACAACATTCCATCTATAAAACACAATTCCATCTATAAAACACCATTCCACCTATAAAACCACACCCTACCCATACAACACGTTCCACCCACACAACATTCGTGAAAGTTTGTGTACAACAATGTTGACATAAAGCACATTTATGAATTAACGGTTAGTTTATTGCCCAATTTGTGTAGAGATTGGCGTGTAAAAATGTTAAGCGTTCAGTTATTTGGGGTGGTGACGAAGTTCTGGAAGACGCTCTTGTCGTCGTGTTTACAGATCCCCCAGTGGACGAACCTGATGAGATCGCTCTCCGGGAGGCCGCAGTTGGCGTAGTCCAGGACACAATTGTTGAGGTAGGTGCGTCCGTCGGACCCACACGAGGGGTCGTAGGTCTCTATGCAGTCGTACTCGCAGACCGTCGCTGGAGATTTTTTGACACATGACCATGTATTAAAATGTAAATATTGCTGCATGATAGAAGTCTTTAAAAAAAAAAATACAACTAACACTTTGTATGCGATTACACATTTCAATTTAGCGGTTATTTAAACAACTTTAATTTTTTTTTATTTTTTTTTTTTTTTTTTTAAATTCATTTATGTTAAAACAAAATATGTTGACTGGGAATAAAAATATTTAATTTCGCGGGCAATCGTTGTCTATTCAGTCATAACACAAAAGAAAGAATTGTCCGATATCCAGAGACGCTTGCTGTAGTAGTCTATCAGCCGAAATGACCACACTGTTGTGTTTGTTTTGTTATTCACTATACCAAGTGTTTCTCTAAACCTACGTGCAATGCTTCTGAAAACAACACAAAACTACGTTTCGTTGAGCGTTTTACCCTAAACACGTGTTGTGAATTAGCCAATACGGGTGTACGATGTGACTGTAAATGTCGTTATTGCCTTTTCGTACTCTTGGCAAACTAGTGGTTTCCGTGTTTAAAAAAATCAGCATTTACACACACACACATTGTCATTTTTTAACACACGCAAAATAAAACAACAACAAAAAAAAAAAAAAAAGCACAACGATGTAAATGTCGTTATTGCCTTTTCGTACTCTTGGCAAACTAGTGGTTTCCGTTTTTAAAAAAATCAGCATTTACACACACACACATTGTCATTTTTTAACACACGCAAAATAAAACAACAACAAAAAAAAAAAAAAAAGCACAACGTACCCATGTCAGCTAGACTGAGGCCAATCAATGAAAGCATGCACCATGTCCCTATCGTGGGTTGTCTGAGAACCATTGCAATGAATCTATACCTCTGCTAAAATGTGTGAAATTCAGTTCACACTCAGTTGCTTTGTATGAATTGCATTTGTTCAAAATTAATCCACTTCTATTTCAACTAGATGCATGCACGTGAAATAAACTGAGAAATGAATAAAAAACAACAACAACAAAAAACATGTTTGTTCATTTCCTGCTTTCTGAACTTACAAAGTAATCCCGCAAGTCCTTATCTCGGAAGAAAAAAAAACACATTGGAGAAAGATATGACTTATGTTACGGCGAAGACAGATATGACTTGGGTATAATTTGGCGTGTCATATATTTCATGGCTTGTCTATGAGTTGAAACAATTAAGATTTCTTTTTAAAAGTATAACTTTTTTTGCATTGGAGACAAAATCTGACTTTTAAAGATATAAATTGAAAACTAATTTTGGAAAGAAGA